ACACCCTGCTCGCTCCCTCCCGTGTCCACACTCATGCACGCGCGCGCACACATACACCCATACACACACACCCGCTCGCTCCCTCCTGTGTCCACACACCCGCTCCCTCTGTGAACACACACACACCCCGCTCGCTCCCTCCCGTGTCCACACTCATGCACGCGCGCGCGCGCACACATACACCCATACACACACACACCCGCTCGCTCCCTGTGTCCACACACACACCCGCTCCCTCTGTGAACACACACACACACTCACACACACCCCGCTCGTTCCCTCCCGTGTCCACACTCACACACCCCGCTCGCTCCCTCCCGTGTCCACATTCACGCGCACACAGACACCCCCCGCCCCGCCGGCGCCACCAGCCGCCCCTCCCGGCTCCCCACAAAGCCGCTGCCACCGCCCTACAGGGTGGCCGCCCCGCTCCCCGTCCCCGCCGTCCACCGCTCACCGTCTGGAAGCCTGGTTGGGGCCTCTTTCGGGCCCCCGCGGAGGAGCCCGCTTTGCGGCCGGCGCTGTTAGGCTGAAAAGAAGGGGGCTCCGAGTCGCCGCCTACGGTTCAGCCCGAGCGGCCATTTTCCTCCTTCTCCCTGGAACTGACAGATCACGTGCCGCCGGTGGGGGGGATGAGGGCGGAGAGGAGGAGCGTCGGAGGGGAGGGCGGGGCGAGACAGAAAGGAGAGAGGAGGAGGGAGGAGGAGGAGGGAGGAGGAGGGAGGAGGAGGGGGGAGGGCAAGGGGAGGGAGGAGGAAAGGAGAGAGGAAGGCAGAAAGTGGAGAGGAGGGGAGGGGGGGAGGAGGAGGGAGGAAGGGAGTGAGCGGGTCGGGGAAGAAGAAGGCACCAAATACCAGCTCTTCCCAGACGTAATGGGAAGTGGGTTTGGAGCCCCAGGGCGGAGGCGGAAGACCTAACTCTTGACATTCATCGTGGACCTGACCTGAGCGTTTGACTCCTCCTCTGTACAATTATGGAGTTGAGGATGCCCAGAAGTGGACTGCCCTGAGCAGTAGTAAATCACCAGACATTGGCATTCTTCAAGTGGGATATTGGGTGACCGCTTGTAAAAGTTGCTGTACAGGAGATTGCTGATCAGGTGTGTTTTGAAGTACCTCCATGATTCTTTGCAATTCAATGCAATAAACATTTATTAAGGGCCTACTATGTACAGGGCATCGAAGACAGAGGACCAAAAAACTATAGCAGCTACCTTTAAGGAGCTTACAATCTGGGGGAAGTTCACAGGTAAGTATTATCCAAAACAGGGTATGCTTTCCACAAAAATACAACATAAGTGGAAAGAGTAGAAATACACAGTGATCAAACATAAGGAGAACAACCATAGAGGGTACATGGGACCAGGGTACATGTATGGAGGTGCATATATGTAGGTAACACAACTATGCAGTGATGCAAATCACATCCTTGCAATAGGATCTTGTATCTGGTGAGGTATTTGCACTGCTTTCTCTGGGCCTACTCCCCCTGGGCAGTTCATGTAGCATCCTGCCTCTCCCTCTCTCCAGGGCTCCTCTGCAATCCAATGACCGAGTCAGTCTTGGTCTCATAAACCATGGTCTCACTCTGTTAGGTAATGCTACAAACTCTGGAATCCATCCTTTTGGGGAGGCCTGCTAGTGCCAATCTGCTAGGGTGTTCTAGGAACAAAAAATAATAAAAGAACTACTTATTATCTCTATGCTGATGATTCTTACATCTACCTTTCCTAGTCGAATCTCTGTTCACTTCCAATCTCACATCTCCAGCTACCTTTCAGACATCTCAAACTAGATGTCCAATAGATACCTTAAACTCAATACGTCCAAAACAGAACTCATCATCTTTCCCCCTAAACCCTCCCCCTCACCCCCCTTATCTTCCCTGTTAGTGTGGAGGGTAATGCCATCTTCTCAGTACCTCAGGCTTGCAACCTAGGAGTCATCTTGGATCTCTCTCAACCCCTACATCCAAGCTATTGCCTATTTCATCTTTGCAACATCTTCTGAATATTCCCCCTTCTCTGACACTGCCCCAACTCTAGTGCTGGCCAAAGTCACCTCACACCTTAATTACTGCAATAGCCTACTAATGAGTCTTTCTACCTCAAGGCTCTTCCCACTCCTATCCATCCCCCATTCAGCCACTAAAGTGATTTTCCTAAAGCACAGGTCCAATCTTGTGTCCCCCATCCCCCCACTCAATAAACTCTGCTGGCTACTTAATGCCTCCAGGAGCAAATACAAAATTCGCTGTTTGGCATTCAAAGTCCTTCAGAATCTAGCCCCCTCCTACCTTTCCAGTCATCTTATACTTTACTCCCTAACATATACTCTTAGACACTTGGGCTGGTTGTTCAACAAACAAGACACTCCATCTCTCAGCTCTGGGCATTCTCTATGGATACCCCCAATGCCTAGAATGCTCTCCCTTCTCCACTCAGACTGCTGACCTCTCCGGCTTCCTTTAAGTCCCAATTCAAATCTCACCTTCCACAGGAAGCCTTCCCTAACCTCTCTTAATTCCAGTGACTTCCCTCTGTTAATTATTTCCAGTTTATCCTATGTGTAGCTTGCTTTATATATATTTGTTTGAATGTTGTCTCCCCCATTAGACTGTAAGCTCCTTGAGGGCAGAGACCTTTTTTTTGGCCTCTTTTTGTATCCCCAGTACAGTTTCTGGCACATAGCAGAAATTTAATAAATATTGATTGATTGAAAATACAGACAATAAAAGCCAGGCAGGGTGCCCAACCTTTACCTGTCCACCCCTTAAGAGTAAGTCTTTTCTTCTTGATCCTTATGTGTAGGGGACATATAACTAACAACTGAACATATCCGGAAAGGCTTCTTGTAGCACCTGAGCTGTGTTTTGAAGGAAGCTAGCAATTCTAAGAGGTGGGAACAAGAGAAGGGAGTATTTATATGATGTCTACTATGTGCCAGGTACTGTGCAAAGTGCTTTACAAATATCTCATCTGATCCTCACAACAGCACTGTAAAGTAGGTATTGTTATTATCCCCATTTAACAACTGAGGAAAATGAGACAAACAGAGGGTAAGTGATATGCCCAGGATCATAAAACTAGTTAAGTGTCTAAGGCTATATTTGAACTCGAGTCTTCATGACTCTAGGCCCAGCACTCTATCTGCTATAACACCTAGCTGCATGGTAGAGATAAATCAGAACTATATTCCACAGGTAAAAGATCACCCTTGCAAGGGTACTGAAGAGGGAGATGAGATGTCCCTGATGGAGAGCCGCTAGCAGGGCAGTTTGACTAGAACTGGGAGTACATGAAAAAAGAAATGAAAAATAAGACAAGCAAAGATTGGTAGAAGCCATTTTGTGGAGGACTTTAAATACCAGGCTGAGGATTTTACATTTTATCCTGGTTGCCCTAAGAAGTCACTAAAGATTTTTTTGCTGTTCAACAGTTTTGTCAATGACTTGAATGAGAGCATAGATAACATTAAGTTTATAATTGACACCAAGCTAGAAGAAATAACTATCTATAAGATGTTGTTTTTCAGTCATGTCCAATTCTTCGTGGCCTCTTTAGGTTTTTCTTGGCAAAGATACTGGAGTGGTTTGCCATTTCCTTCTCCTGCTCATTTGACAGTTGAGGAAACTGAGGCAAAAAGGGTCACAGGACTTGCCCAGGATCACACAGCTAATAAGTGTCCGAGGCCGGATTTGAACTCATGAAAATGAGTCTTCCTGTGGTAACTGCCTCATATGGTTAGGTACATTATCTCCCTTGAGCACTATAACAAAGTACTTTATAAAGCTTAATATATATATATAGATATAGATATAGATATATAATGTATATATAAGTATATATATATAAAATCTTCAGTTATTATTACTATACTAAGTGCAGGGTATTATTATCTCTACTTCCCAAGCACCTAGCAAAGTACCTTACACAGAGTAGATACTCCCTCCTTCCATTCTCCAGGGATCTATAGTTTCATTGGAGTGAGTGTTCTCCTGACTAATACAGATTGGAACCCTTCTTTGACTTGGCAGACTGTCTTTTAGCACTTTTATAGCCAAAAATATCATTATGCAGACAATCTAGTAACCCCCCTGACCTTAGCTAGATGGGCCCTCAGCCAACATACAGCTTATCATTTGGCCCATATTCAAAGCCTTACTGGCTTGATGGTTCCTGACAGAGCTTATGCTCCATTGACTTAGCTCTTATGGGCCTAAAGTCACAAGACCTGAGTTCAAGGCCTCACTCTGACACATAGTTCCTTCCTGACCAAGGCAAGTCACTTGACCTCTCAGTGGCCCAAGGCAATTCTCTAGGAGTAGAAGTTGCAGATAACTTACCTATCCGACCAGAAGTTCCGCACAGTGATGAAGTTATAAGTCCAGGAAAACAAAAATAAGAAACCAGTGCTTGATACCTCTAAACCACAGAGTATCAGAGAATGACTTCAGGAGGCACTTAATAGATGTTTATTTAATTAAATGGAATGATTGTATCACAGAGTTTTATTTGCCCTGTGCTTCTTTCTGGTAGTTAAAAACACAACTAAGAGAGTAAACTAACCCGTCCAGGTGGAGACCAGTGAGCTCACCCATTTTCTAGACTTCAAAAGGCTCCCTTTACACATCCAACAAGCACTTAGCAATTAGATTCAATAAATACTTATTAAGCACCTGTTATGTGTTTAGTGGTCTTTTCAGCTCCTGTGGGTTCAATTATCATCTTTGTGCAGGTGACTCTCAGATCTACTTGTCCAGCTCTAACCCTTCTCCTAGCCTCCAGTCTTTCATCTCCAAATGCCATTTAGACACCTTGATTTGGATATCCCATACACATCTTAAACTGATCACCTCCAAAATTGAACTTAATCTTTTCTCTTAAAATCTCCCTCTTTCTTAATATCTGTTACTATGAAGAGCACCACCATTCTCATCCAGGCTCACAACTTAGGTGTCATCCTCCACCCTCATTCTCTCTCATCCCCTGCATCCAATTAATTAAGTCCTGTTGTTGTTAACATCTCTCTTTTTTTATTTCTTTTTTAATTAATAAATTTATTTATTTTTAGTTTTCAACATTTATTTCCACAAGATTTTGAGTCCCAAATTTTCACCCCATCTCACCCCTCCCCCACCCCAAGATGGCATGCATTCTGAATACCCCTTCCCCTAGTCTGGCTTCCCTTCTATCTCTCCCCCCCTTCTCTTATCCACTTCCTCTTCTATTCTCCTATAGGGCAGGATAGATTTCTGTACCCCATTTCCTGTATTTCTTATTTCCCAGTTGCATATGAAAACATTTTTTTAAAACATGTGTTTTTAAAACTTCAGGTTCCAAATTTTCTCCCTTCCTCCCTCCCCACCCACCCTCATTGAAAAGGCAAGCAACTCAATATAGGTTATACATTTGCAGTTATGTAAAACACTTCCGTAGTAGACATGCTGTGAAAAACTAACTCTATTTCCCTTAATCCTATCCTGCCCTCCCCATTTGTTCAATTCTTTCTTTTGACCCTGTCCCTCCTCAGAAGCATTTGCTTCTGATTACCCCTTTTCCCAATCTGCCCTCCTCTCTATCATCCCCCTACTCTCATCCCC